CTATACTGTTTTAGAAACTTCAAGCCTTTGTTGTGAGTGTAGGTTGTCAAGTGACATTCAGAAGAGCCACGCTCATGGCTAGCAATAGCACATGGCAGTAAACCAATGGAATCCTGATTCATGACGTTTCCGTAATCGAATTCAAATCAAATTATTTAACTAACTGAATTCAGTAATTTCAAGTTAGACCTGTGATACATTAATATTAATATTGCTTTTTATTTATTTTTTTTATTTATTTCATTAGGGGGTAGGTTGGTGGCTGAAAGTTAGTAATTTTATAATAAGTGAGTTTGTGGTCACTACTAATATCTGGTTCAGTATGAAACTGTAGTTCATGTTGAAAATGTGCCCAGCCAAAGCAGATGTCAGGTGAGGCTTCATAATTGGTTCTGTAGTTAAAGTAGTTTGCCAGGTAGGGTGGCAAAAGAAGAATATACTGTATGGTGCAGTGTCTTTAGCTATATAGATCGGTGCCTGCAGTATTTTGGGTGCCTCTACTCCATGTGGGGTGGTTAGCATTGAGATCACCTGTAACAATGATCGAGTGTCGTAATTGGTTAAGATGGAATTCCAGTTCGTTTAAGTTTATTGTGCCACCAGTGTTGTATATACCCAGAAAGGATGTGTGTATCATTGTAAGGTATTAGGCATGCTAAAATTTCTACTTTACCATTCACAAAATTTGTAAGTGTTACAAGTTTACATATCATATTACTCCGTGTTAGGAGGAAAATACCACCACCCATACGGTTTGGTCTGTCCAGTCTCTGCATCTGAAAGTTTTCAAAAATAAGATTTTGTTTGGGAGTGAGCCAGGATTCGGTTATAAAAGCTAAGTTCGGTTTGGATGAGTAAAGGAATTGTTTAAGCTCTGTGAGAGATGTTTTAATGCTTTTTGCATTCCAAGGCATGAAGGTTAGGGGAGCCATTTAGGATGTATGGGTTATGGATGTGTCCATTTTCCTTGGCATGCCAATAGTAGTACGTGTTGGATACTTAGATGTGGATTGGAGGCTGTCTTACTCTGGGTACTGGTGGTTGGAGTTTGTGGCAAGTCAGCCTGGGGAGTGATTTTGGCAAGGCGTGCTAAGGAGTTATTTTGGAGTTTTTCCGTCATCTGTTCAAACGATGTATGTCCAGCAATGGTAGCTTTGTTTGGGCGGATGTCAGTGTCTGTAGCTGTTGATGGGATGTCTGTTGGGTCGGCCTCAGAGGTGGGTTGTGTTACTTGTGTAAAAAATTTTGTTAAAAGTCGGTCCAGCGTCTTTCTAGTGCATTTTCGATGCGAGTGACAAGAGTTTCAACAAGATCAGGACTTGGTTTTGCATTTTGTGGGAGATGGTTGGACCCTGAGGTTGTGGGATTGTCGGTGACAGACATATCAGGTACACGCAAAGGTTGTGGTTGAGTGTAAGGTGGAGGTTGATGATGGACTGAGTTAGGTTGTTTCAATGCACTACTGTATTGCAAGTTGGTGGTAGGGAGAACCTAAGTTTTTGCTGCTGCTGGTATGTATGAAGGATATTGTTTGAATGTAATGTCATGATTGCCACCACAGTTTGAGCAGGTGAGCAGATCTGATGTACAGTCTTGCGTGTAATGGTAACCAGAGTATTTCCCACATATAATGTCTTTGGTGCAGCCTTTTGAGTTATGGTTAAAATCTTTACATTTAAAACATTGAGTGGGACATGGTATATACACCTAGTTTATGGAGGAAGCCGTTTAACCCTTAAACTGCGCAACACGTCTTATGACGTGTTGAGTAACTTACCGAAAAAGTGCGCATCACGTCATATGACGTGTTGGAGTACTACGCATGATTTAAATGGCCCGCGGATACACAGGGTTCACCACACCTTCATCAGGGCTCTTGTAAACAGACGCCATTTTTAAAAAAAATCGTGGGCCAAACTCCCGGGTGTTAGGGGCCTCAGTATTGAGTGAGCTACCAAGCCTGATGCACGCAGCATGAGCTAACAGCACTGCTGTTCAGCTTGTGACCACAGCATCGCCTAAAAATGCCATAATATACTTGTTCATGCTATTATGTAACGATGATATTATTACAGAAGACCCCTGACTGTGATAAAACTGACCAGGGTTCTGATAATAGCAGGATTGTGGTGATATTTAGCGCTGTGCGCCATGGAGGGAGGAGTAATGCTGTGGGAGGGAGGGTGGTGGCGATGTCTTCTGACTGTGTGTGGCCACCTTTTATTGACTGCACTCACTATACCAGCTTAGTGGTTCGCTATGGTGAACACAAATGTAGATACTTAAATATAACATGTGTATAGAGGGTATAAACAGCAAGAGGAGTAAGTTGGGAGCCGCCATTTTGGTGAGGGCGGCGTCGTCTGCACGACGCCACCGTGCAGACGACGGTGTTGTTTACTGGTTACCACGATGGTCTTTGGGCACCATACCAGTTTACTTCTACAAGTATCGTGAATAAAACAGGTAGATATTTATATATAATGTGTGTACAGTATATAGCGTAATAACACCACAAACAGTATTGTTGGAGGAGAAATATTAGTGCGTCTGGCCTTGAGGGCGGCAGCCATCAGCTGACTGTGTGAGGTCCTTCGTCTTTGTGCCTTTACTCACCATACAAGCTTAGATGTACAGTTATGGTGAACAAAACATGTAAATACTTATATATAACGTCTGTATATAAAAGCAAAAACAGTATGGTGGGTGGAGAATGGTGGCAAGTCAGGTGAGGTGAGGGAGGGAGGGAGTGGCAGCCAGTGGCGGACTGCCACTGCCACTCAGCATACCAACTTAGTGGTTCGTTATGGTGAACACGAATGTAGATACTTATATATAGCATCTGTATATAGTGAATAAAAGCAAAAACAGTATTGTGGGAGGAGAATGAGGGTGAGTCAGGTGACTTGAGGGAGAGCGTGAGTGGCTGTCACTCCTCGTTACTTTTTGACTCATAATAGCAACTTAGTGGTTCGTTACGGTGAACAAAACATGCAGATACTTATATATAACCTGTGTATATAGTGTAATAACCGACAAAGTATTTGTTCACTGATTGATGAACATAATTGAATCAACAATATGCACACCATATTTTTGAGTACAGCGATGATTCACTCATTTTATTATATAAATATATCAAACTACACACTATTGAATAATATTACAGCAAAAAAACTACGAAAAATCAGAGACATTGAAATAATTAGGTAATTATCTCTTTGTGGCAACTCCGGCTTGACAGCTGGCGATCAACAGACTGCCTGGGATGCACGCTGAGTCAGCACCTGTTTTTTGCCAGACTTCCCCGCCCTATAGCGGGCAATATATGCCACTTACGATTTTTTTATTATTTTTCCCATGATCAGTGAACACAAATTAACAGATTAGCAAGATTTTTTTTTTTTTTTTTTTTTTTTTTTTTTTTTTTTTTTTTCAAAATTACATGCGCCTGTGGGGAACAAAGGATATTATACCCCTAGCATGTTAAGGGTTAACCACTTAACTGCGCCAGCCGAGTATTCTCGGTCGGCGGGAAACTGCGCCAACTGAGAAAAGTCTCTTTGATTTTTTCGTACCCATTCTAAATGTGTGCGAGGTTGGTTGTATACAAAATGGACTCGTAGGACCTCCAGTGAGAGGCAGCTATCTTGGAAAAAATTTCCAGAATGCCCTAGGGCTGCTGGCTGGGTTAGTACTGAATGAGCAACCATGGGTGGCGCACGTGCCTCTGGCTCCCAAACACCTGTCTGATGCAGTGTTAAAAGATAACTCTCTGTCGGTGAAATTCAAACCTTATTGTTTGAAGAACATGAGGGTCATAATATTGGTGAAGCTATGTGCAATAGGGACCTAACACAAAGGTCAGGTGCAAGTGATACAGCATCTATGAGGACGATATATCCAGTTGTAGCTCGGAGTGGCACCCTTGCAATCGTATGCTATCTCAAATTTATTTAGATGATACATAGATGAATCGTTTTCTGCATTCAGTGATGATGCATCTGATACAAATTGCATAGATGAACAGTGTTAGCCATGGTGGTGTTTTCCATAGATATTTTCAAAAATACCTGAATCTTTTCCTAATTGACGGACACTCTTTGAGGCTAGCTGAATCTCTTCCTGACTGACGTACACTCTTTGAGGCTAGCTGAATCTCTTTCTGACTGATGGACACTCTTTTGAGGCAAGCTACATCTCTTCCTGTGTGGGACCATACAAAGCAATCTTTTCAAGACTACCTTATAAATTGATCTTTTCCTATAATCTTTTCAATACTACCTTATACTTTACAAGTTTGGCTACATACAACCTACAAATACTAATGCAAAGAGTGCGTTATTTGCAAGCACACAGAATGAAGAAACAGGAAACGAAAATTTATCTGTACCTGGTGCAACGAGAGCAAAATCGCGCTGTGTACCATGGACTACTTCCTTGATTATTACTCACCTCCGAAGTACTGAGTGTGTAATACAGTGTAATACTGTGTAAATAGTGTGTGAAACTGTACACATTGTAATTTTAGTGAATTTTTAACAAGTAATATTGCGACTAAACATTTATTCTGGACACATTACTGACACATGTATCAGTTCCATGGAACATTATGAATGTTCTACTGTATGCATATTGTAAAATACTCAAATATGCATCATATACATTAAAAAACAAATAAAACTACATTGGAAATACATAAAACAAATAATTGAAAATATATTTGTGGCAACATCCGGTGCTTGAATGACCCGCGCGACCGTGTCTGGGTGATTCACGCATGGGTGACCAGGCCCTGATGACGTCACAGCGCACCCTGTCCACGTCCCCACAGCCAAAGTAAGTGGAATTTGGTATTTATTTTTACATAGACATGTTCAAGGAAGGGAATTTATCATTTTACGAAGAAAAAAAAGAATTTTGGGGGAACTTTATTTTATGCGCACCGTGGGAATTTCACAATAAACTCGGTGGTTAATAAAACTAATAAATTGTTCCAGGGTTTCTACGCAAAGTGTATGGACTGCTGTCAGTGCAGCTGTTAGTTACTACAGTTGTGGCGGCAGCATTTGCTTACACTCCAGTTCTTCGTGAAGCCATTCATGCCAACCCATGGATGCTTATAATGTGCCTACCTCTTGCCATTGGACTCCTGATTGCTCTCCATGTGAAGAGGTAAATACACCAAAATGGTTCACTTTAACTATGCTTCTGTTTGTATATATGCTACACTGTGTACTTTATATTCTTTGCTTGTAAAATTTCAAGTTGAGATTGTCAACGTTGCACGCAAAATTATATATTTCTAGGGGGAGCCCCTTCGGCTCCTCAGAGCTTATCCAGACTGATATACTAATATCAGACTTTGGCATCAGTCCTGTGTATGGAGTTCTGTGGGCCTACCGGGGACCACGAGCCATAACCTGGCCCCCTCAGAGAGGCATGGGGAGCAATGGCCTATAGAAACCCCCATGTGGTTGGAAGCATTCTATGTCTGTTATCGACCGGGTTAGACACCCAGAAAGGTATGCGTCCCAAAACAAACCCCCTATTATGGTGAAAATTGCTACCAAAAGCCGAACAAGTGGATAGAACTCCCCAAAAAGAAATGAGCAAATGAGCATGATGTCACACGTCATCGCACCGCTGTCTGCGTAGCTCCCCCTCCCCGGGAGGGGAAAAGGGGGAAGCCCCAGACCCCCACCTGGCTATCCTCCCTTCAGTTCTGAGGCTGATGCTATAGGCAACTGTCGTGTGCTCCAGCTCCAGTGGTTGTTTCAACACCGGACCTAGTGTGTTGGTGACTGTCTTCTAGGTGGTGCGTGAGCCGGGAGTGATTCCCCAGTACTCGGGCTGCATGCGCCTACGGTTTCCTTCCCTATGTGCTCTGTAATTACTGCCTTTGGGGCTTGGGGTTACTTTCCCCAAATTCCTTGGGTTCTGCCTCTGCTTGCTTTTCGACTGCCCTCTGTGTGTTCTAGGGTGTTCAGTCTCCCTTGTTTGCCTTAGGATGAGGGGCAGTTTTGCACCGGCAGGGGCACATGGTACTGCACAGCATATTTTCACCAATCAAAGCGGCCAGCTCAGTTCCTCCTGGGTACGCTGTCCGCTTGAGGTTTTTTCTTTTTCTTTTTCTTTGTCTGCCTTGGTTCTTGCCCCCTGTATACTGAGTACTCTTCCTTCTTTCTTTCTCACAAATGATGGCCTCCGAAACACTATCACCCTTTAACTCCTTGTCATATCCAGTTACTATCCAGTTATTATCCATAGTTTTGTCGTGTATCTACGTCAAGTGTTTGTGGTCTTTGTTTCATCATTGTTCTTACGCCTCTTGCCACTTTAGCACTCATAATGTCCTTTTTCTTCTTTAGTATAGTGCATATTCAGGCAATGAGTCAAAATAACGTGGCTAAATTATGTTGACCAGATCACACATTAGAAGGTGAAGGGACAACGATGCTTCAGTCCATCCTGGACCATTCTCAAGTCGATTGTGATGAGGAAGTAGATGCAGGCAATAAATAGGCAAGAGCGGTGAGGAGCAAAGAAAGATGTAGTAGAGGGGATAGTAGTAGGAATAAGAACTGCAGAGGGCCTATTGGCCCATACGAGGCAGCTCCTATGAAAACCACCGAATGAGAGGAGATAGCAATAGGAATAAGAAGAGGATAGTAAGGGAATGTAAGAGAAAAAACAATGAACAGAAAAAAGAGAGAGAGGAGAGAAAGAAAAGGAAAGAGAAAGAAAGATAAATGGAAGGGTAAGCTTATGTTAGGTCACGTTTGTTAGAAAGATTAGAGCATTTAAGTATATACTTTGAAAGGGAAGAGTCCACAGCAACAAAGACAGGACTCAAGTTCATGTTGGGTACATTGTGTATTAGAGCCGATTCAACAAGACGGCATCTGTGTAGAGTAGAGGCAGGAAAGATTATTTTGGAGGAAGACCAATCAATAGGATGATTGGAATCCCTCACATGACAGAAGTGAGCATTGTTAGTAAGAGAAGAGAGTTAAGTCTGCAGACACTAACAAGTCGTCATGGGTTGCTGGCACGAGGGATCTGTGGCTCCCCCTTCCCCCTCCGGGGGAGGGAGGAGCTGCTCAGACAGCAGCGCGGTGACATAGTGACGTCATGCTCGTTAGCTTGCTTTCATTTTGGGAGTTGTGTCCACTAGTTCAGCTCTCGGTAGCAATTTCTTAACCAGAATAGGGGTTGTTTAGGGATGCTTACCTTTCTGGGTGCCTGACCCAGTCGATGGTAGGCATAGAATGCTTCCAACCACATGAGGGGTTTCTATAGGCCATTGCTCCTCGTGCCTCTCTGAGGGGGCCAGGTTCTGGCTCGTGGTCCCCGGTATGCCTGTGAACTCCATACACATGCCTGATGCCAAAGACTGACATATATACATATCAGCCTGGATAGCTCCGGGGAGCCTCCGGGTCTCGCCCAGAAAATGGCGTTTCATTACATTCAACACTGGTTTTATTTGTTGACCACTTTCTTTCTATCTTCACATAGTTGGGGAAACGTATGCACTCTCCAGGATGTAAACGTTACACCAAAATCAGATAATAAACAAAGGAAAAAAAACTAAAATCTTAAAAGAAAATAAATTATCATAAAACAAAATATTTTTGGGACATTGATGAAGGTAACATATATTAACATTGGACAATGTTAATATGATATACAGTGGCACCTCGATTAACGAGCGGCTGTATTTACGAGCATTTCCAGTAACGAGCAAGCCACTCGCAGCAAATTTGTCTCTATTGACGAGCTTCACCTCTATTAACAAGCAAATCCACATGGTGCTTCCTAGCACCTCGCGGGTTCTCGCAAATTCTCGGACGCCTCCGACGCCAGTGTTGTTGTTGTTTCGTGCACGACAAGCATCCCTCTTCATTTTTTTTTTTTTTTTTAAGTTTTGTGACTACAATTTGTAATGCACGATGTCACCAAAAAAGCTGCTTGCTAAAGATAGTGTTGTCAAGATGAAGAAAGACACAATTACTGTGGATTTGAAGGACATTATAGCAAAGCATGAGCGGGTGTCTGTGTGACTGATCTCACAAGGGAGTATGGCAGGTCCTCATCAACAATTTGCACCATTAGTAAGGGAAGGAGGAGGTAAGGGAGGATACTGCCTATTCCAGTGAGATCAGGGAAGTGTTGGGAATGTTTGAAAAGGTGACAGCATTCTTGGAAAAGTTGCCCTGATAAAGCAGTAACAACCCGGTGTGTGAACATGTTTAACCCTTAACATGCTCGGGGTTTAATATCCTGTCATCCCCACAGGCGCATGTCATTTTGAAAAAAAAAAAAAATATTTTTTCTTCCTAACCTGTTAATTTGTGTTCACTGATCACGGGAAAAATAATAAAAAAATCGTAAGTGGCATATATTGCCCGCTATAGGGCCGGGAAGACTGGCAAATTATAGGCAATGACTCAGAGTGCGTCCCAGGCGGTCTGTTGCTCGCAAGCTGTCAGGCCGGAGTTGCCACAAAGAGATAATTACCGAATTATTTCAATGTCTCTGATTGATTTTTCATACTTTCTTTGCTGTAATATTATTCAATAGTGTGTAGTTTGATATATTTATATAATAAAATGAGTGAATCATTGCTGTACTCAAAAATATGGTGTGCATATTGTTGATTCAATTATGTTCATCAATCAGTGAACAAATATTTTGTCGGTTATTACATTATAAGCACAGGTTACATATAAGTATCTGCATGTTTTGTTCACTATAACGAACCACTAAGTAGCTATTATGAGTCAAAAAGTAACGAGGAGTGACCGCCGTTTAGCAGCCAGCCACTCCCGCCCTCCCTCCAGTCATCTGACTCACCCACATTCTCCTCCCACAATAATGTTTTTGCTATAATTCACTATATACAGACGTTATATATAAGTATCTACATGTTTTGTTCACCATAACTGTACATCTAAGCTTGTATGGTGAGTAAAGGCACAAAGATGTGGCTACTCACACAGCTGATCGGCGGCCGCCCTCAAGGCCAGACGCACTAATATTTCTCCTCCAACAATACTGTGTGCTGTTATTACGCTATATACACACATTATATATAAATATCTACCTGTTTTATTCACCATACTTGTACAAATAAACTGGTATGGTGCCCAAAGACCATCGCGGTAACCTGTAAACAACACCGTCGTCTGCACGATGGCGTCGTGCAGACGACGCCACCGCCCTCACCAAAATGGCGGCTCCAAACCTTTTCTTGCTGTTTATACCCTCTATACACACGTTATATATAAGTATCTACATTTGTGTTCACCATAGCGAACCACTAAGCTGGTATGCTGAGTGCAGTCAATAAAAGGTGGCCACACACAGTCAAAAGACATCGCCACCACCCTCCCTCCCACAGCATTACTCCTCCCTCCATGGCGCACAGCGCCAAATATCACCACAATCCTGCTATTATCAGAACCCAGGTCAGTTTTATCACAATCAGGGGTCTTCTGTAATAATATCATCGCTACATAATAGCATGAACAAGTATAATTTGGCATTTTTAGGCGATGCTGTGGTCACAAGCTGAACAGCAGTGCTGTTAGCTCATGCTGCGTGCATCAGGCTTGGTTGCTCACTCAATACTGAGGCCAATAACACCCGGGAGTTTGGCCCACGATTTTTTTTTTAAATGTCGTCTGTTTACAAGAGCCCTGATGAAGGTGTGGTGAACCCCGTGTATCCGCGGGCCGTTTAAATCTTGCGTAGTACTCCAACACATCATATGACGTGATGCGCAGTTGACTGGAACAACGTCCAGCACGTCATATGACGTGATGCGCACTTTAAGGGTTAATGACTATTTGCTGTCTCGTTTTAGGGACATCCTAAAACAAAGACAAAAGCAATTGTCTATAGATACGTTCTTTGCAAAAGTAGAGAAAAGAAGAGCCAGTGATAGTGAACCACAACAAGGTCCCAGTGGGGTGAAACTCGCAAGAAGAGAGGCCACCTGACTCAGAGGTGGATTCTCCTTCCACACCATAACCCCTCTCCTCCTTCCCACCTCCCCATCGTCTCCCTCAAGCCAGCAGCGAGTCTTCATAAGGTAATGTAAACATGAAAACAGTACAACAAAACATTTATAATTACATGTGCAGTATTATATTTACATAAAAAAAAGT